TCTATTGAGTATTGGGTATAATAAAGGTTTACAATTTATGACTTTGGATAACAATGGTCAATGATGGGAGTATGACGTATATAAACTGAAACTTTCAAACATGTTCTGTCAATCCTAAATGTCAGTTACATTTAAAAAATTAAATTAAAAAATATATGTAAAGAATATTCAAATGGGGAAAGAGATATCCCACATTTTTTAAAGACTATAGCATAATATACTATTCGATATTGTTAATTTGTATTTTACTGCTATTCTATAGGTACTTGTTTTTTTTTCAAAACTTTTTTATAATTTTTATTTGACATTTTTCAACAAATTATTTTTAACAATATTCTGTAATYATTTTATTATTTATTTTAAAAACATTAATTGTGATTTTTAGACAACAAACATTTTTGACTAAATGGTATAGCATAATATAGGTATACTATACGATATTGATATATTATTTTTTATATAACTGATTTTTAGATTAAAAAAACATTTTTGGCGTTTTTTTCCATGACGTTTTTTACCCGTGTCGATTTTTACCGTGACGTTTTTTACTTGATGATTTTTTCCGTGTCGTTTTTTTCTGTGTCGTTTTTTTCCTAGATTCATATAAATACTATATAGGTAATAGGTACTTTTAACAAACAGGCTTTTAATTTCTATACAGATAATTTGTTAAATATTTGATATAATATTGCCAAATTCCGAATAATATTAAAAACCCAAAACAATGAATATACCTAATTAGTAATTCATATAATAATATCTCAAGTAAAATACTTATATACCACTGATAGGCGATAGCCGAACGTTGTTTAATTTGTTTAAAATTTTAAACACAATTAAGTTTAGAGAAATGTGTTTAATATAGTATAGGCATTGATTAAATATTTAATTTCTCTAAACTTAATTGTGTTTAAAGTTTTAAACAAATTAAACAATCTTCAGCTATATAATATATTATTATTATCATATATATTTACATTTAATCAATAGACAATAGTATGGGTAATGTGTGTAATATTGCTATTGAATACCAATGAATACAATATTTCGACGTAAACGTTTGTCGACAGTACGTCGCGTATCCCACGTCGACCACTAACGGTTTTCTGCTGAAGAATTAATTCTTTCTGCTTTCGAATTTTTTCAAATACTTCCATATACCTACACTGATATTCATTAATCGCCTTTATTGAATATACAATATTATGAAACTCTATGCATATCATATTTAATTTTAATAGACAACTTTAGTACTACTAACAGTACTAACCTATATCAATTACCATAATATAGTACAGAGCTCTGTTCGATGACTGTTATTCATTATAATTATTAATTATTGTCGGTCGAATCCAACCAATTCCGGTCGACAATTATGTTCGTCGGTTGACATCAATATGACTCCCAGACAGCGTCCTTTTAGTTGGTCGTTACTTTGTTTAATGTTAGTGTTGTTTATTGAATTTCGATAATCGTTAATTGTTGTTATCAAAAAAAAAAAAAACAATTCATCGTTCTATTGACCATTGCTGTTATCATCATTTTTTGTTGTAAGTTGGGTGAAAAACTAATGTGAAAAGTGAAGACTACTGAGTACTGACTAATCAGTTACGATAAATTTCGATTGAAAATGGCAGGGAATTTTTGGCAAAGTTCGCATTAGTAAGTTATAATTATGTATAGACTAGGTTTGAGATTTATTTGTTGAATATTTCAATTTTAAAAACTTACAATGCATGCGTTACATTTTCTTTTTTTTTTGGAATCATTAAAAAATAAATTATAAAATAATGTTGAAACAGGTAACGTGTATCACATATATTGGAATATTTACGTATTTACGGATTATTTGCAGTATATTTTATTCTTGCAAGAATGCAAGATGAATGGTTCTATTTGTCTGTTTCTATACAGCTGTATTGAATCTTTAAATGTTTATTTTTTTCAATCATTTGATTTATCAAAATTTTATGTTACAGTCAACAATGGATATTGGACAAACAAGATCTAGTCAGAGAGCGTCAGTTAGATTTACAAATATTAAGTGAAGAAGAATATCAAAAAATAGGAATATTCTTTTCTAATTGTAAGTTCCAACTTAATATTTTTTATATTGGTAGCTTTATTAATAATGATATAAAAAAAAACTAAATTTACAAACAGTTAAACCACTCAAGCCTACTAATTGTTGTTATGCTTCTTGTAAAATTATTCATAAATTATTTTTCTTAACAAACTACTTGATAGAAAAATATTATTGATAAGATATACTTAATTTAACAAACTTATAAATTTTTTGTTTAGTTATCCAAATTTTAGGTGAACAACTGAAACTTAAGCAGCAAGTGATAGCAACAGCTACAGTTTATTTTAAACGATTTTATGCTAGAAATTCTCTCAAATCTATTGACCCTTTGTTGTTGTCTCCAACTTGTGTGTTCTTAGCATCAAAAGTTGAAGAATTTGGTGTAATATCAAACAGCCGTTTGATTACTACTTGTCAGACTGTTTGTATGTTTCTGTTGTAATTATTTTACTTTACAGTTTTTAATTATATTTTACTTTTTTTTGTAGTGAAAAATAAATTGAATTATGCATATACCCAAGAATTTCCGTATCGCACAAATCATATATTAGAATGTGAATTTTATTTATTGGAAAATTTGGACTGTTGTTTGATTGTATTTCAACCTTATCGTCCATTGCTTCAATTAGTTCAAGATATTGGACAACAYGAAGATCAATTATTGGCATTAGCATGGAGAGTAGTAAATGATAGTCTTAGAACTGATTTGTCATTATTATATCCACCATATCAAATAGCTATAGGTAAGATTTAATTATTACTCTTATAATACATAAATATATGAGACTAAATATTTTTTTATCTTAAATTTTACTTAATGCATTAACACATACATCAAAAATACATTTTTTTSCTGATTTTAACGCTATATTCAATATGTTTATATATATATTTGTGTGTATGTTACATTAAAAAAATTATAGTTTTATTTTATAAAAAATAAACAAAAATAATTTGATTTTTAATTTAGGTTTTCTCCTGGCTAGTTTACTTTTAATTAAAAATTGAAAAAAATAAATATTTTTCTTAATATTTTTGGGCTGAAATAAATTATTAGGCATTTAGTTGTATTTAATTGTTTACCAAATAAATCTTGGGAAATAAAATAAATAAAATATACAATATTAACTAAAAATTAATTATTTTTAATTAGAGAAAATCTTTTGTATAAATCTAAAATAGTTTTAATTAAGGTTTTTTATTGAACACCATGTATTTGTATCACATAATATTTGATAAATTTATCAATGTATTGAGCTTTTCCTAAGCCAGATGTAATTATATTTTTATAATAAAATACACCTCATAAAAATATGTATTTCCTTCCTAAGATAATTCTAGTTGGCACCACACCTAAACAACATTTAAAATTAATAGTATGAAATGTTGATATCACCAGGATCCTGGTGTATCTGAACTCAAAATATTCCAACTAATTCCTACCAAAAATGTTTACATTAATAGATAATAAAAAATAATATTTTATCATCATTACTAAATTTCAAGAAACTCAGAATACTAACTTAATAGAACTATTGAAAATCTATGTCTTATATAAGTAATATGCTTTTACTTAATGAGCATTTTTTATTATTATAGGATGCTTACAAATTGCTTGTGTTATTATGCAAAAGGATCTCAAATCATGGTTTGCAGAGCTAAATGTGGACATAGACAAAATACAAGAAATATCCCGTTATATTATCAATTTATTTGAATTATGGAAATCTTATGATGAGAAAAAAGATATTCAAGGCTTACTAAATAAAATGCCTAAACCTAAACTACAGCCAACTCGATAATAGTTTTTTAAACAAATTTTTTTTCTTTTTGTATACTCAAACTAATTTATATTTTTACTTTAATAGTTAATTATTACTAGCTAATACTTAATAGCTTGTTTAATTTTTTTTTAACAAGGTGATTTGGTGTTTGTCAAAAATGAAAGATATTTTATATTTAGAAGTAGTTGTATATATTATAATATATATATTATAACTAAATATTATGTTCCTTTTGAAATACTTGAATTAAGATAATGTTATTAGTGATTAAAGTTAAAATGTCACTATTTAACAAAAATAATGTCCTATATTTTCTATGTAGGTAGATGTTTCAATTTAATATTATATAACTCAATAACTCTTACCAAATTTGTTTATAAATAAAACATCAAAGTTTGAACAATAAGAAATTTGATTCTGTTGTAATTTTGCTATGAATTTGATTTAAAAAATAGTTTTTTGAAATCATAATTTTCTAATATCCTAAATATTACATGAATAAAATATGAATATTTAAAAACAGTGAATACGTAATATTCTAACATGGTGAAAATCAGATTTTTAGGAGAGGAATGAGGCTATTATTTTAAAATAGCTATGATCCTAATTGTTTTCTTGTTTTGTTCAAAAATTATTACAAGTATACTAACTTTAATAAGCTTATTAACTACTCACAGGGAAATACTAATTGTCACTCGCTAATATGCTGTATACTATACCATAGACTCGTAAAGTTTTAATTTCTGATAATCAAGAATCTAGACATTCTAGACATACATGTTATTGTATTATTATTATTATTATTATTATTATTGTAGCAATTCCACTACCACTATAAATTATGATAACATACAGAATATGGCTTATTTGAACATATATTAGTAGTTAAATAATTTTTAAATGGGTAGGTACAATTACAATAATTATTCAACAGGTATTAATAGTATTAATAATGAAAAAAAAATTATTTAAATAAATGTGTTTAAAAATTGTTCAAATAATTATTTTGATAATAATTCAACAATAAATTCTCAAAACGATCCATTATTATTACAATTGGATTTGAATGTTTTGTCAGATTGGTATTCAATTAATAAACTATGATTAAACATCAATCAATATAAAGTTATATGTTTCTCTAGAATTCATGATCCACTTCTAGACTATAGTGTCTTATTATATTTATCAGTCTTTATTACGTGTTCATGAAATTATTAATTTAGGTGTATTCTTTGACACAACTCTCACAATTAATAAACACTTGTTACATACAGTTAGAAAATCATCAATGATTTTAGGCTTTATTATTAKAAATTGTAAAGACTTYACTAATCCTGTTATTATTTAAACTTAATATACTTCTCTRGTTCGATCAAAATTTGTGCACAACACTGTGGTTTGGTTGCCATACTTAAATTATCAAATTAAATGATTGGATAATATTCAAAACTGTTTCCTTAGTTTCATAGCCTTCAAATATAATTTAACTTGTAAGCAACATTCTCCTTATAAACCACTATTACATTCTTTTAACATCGTAGGTTTGTTTAATCGGAAGAAAATATATGATTTGAAATTTTTATTTAAGCTCGTTAATGGTTTTATCCATTGCCCTGAAATTTTAGGTTCTCTCAAATTTGAACTTGAAATTGTGATAATATATTTATTTGACAGTTTAACACGGTAAAAATATTATTTTCTGTTAAATTTTATTTTGAAATGTGTATGATTCGGGTTATTTATAGTGGTTGAATTAGGGGAGGACAAAGGGGGACTAGATAGGATTACTATTAGATTAATTTACTTTGGAACATTAATTGTTCAACTTCATTTAGATTCCATCTTTATTTTTTTATCCAATTTAACCACTGGTTATTAACATTMTCTACAGAATATGCTTTGATATCTTTGAAACTTCATTAGTTTCTAATTGACTACTCTATAGGCCAGTAAAAACTATTTWAAAAAAAAGTTAACTATAACTTACAATTTTCATAATTARTTTTTCTGTAAATTTCATTTTCAATTATAAGAATAGTAAAACTGTTTAAATCTTTTTATTGTATCTGGTGCTGATGATGATCTTTGTTAATGTTGAAAATGACCTTTCAGCATAACTTATGAGAATGGGAGGCATAAAAAAAATTGTGACATTCTAACAAATATGTCTAAGTAAGGGAAATAGGTAGATAGATCCAGTGGCGTATATAGAGGGGGACCCCCTAAGCCCGGGCCCATAGTAAAAATTTATTATACAATCGTTTCCAGAAAAATTGAGACGGCGGAAGTGGCTCTTTTTGGTGTAGGCTTTTTTGTTTAAATTCATCTAACAGCATTCCAAAAAATGCTATTGAAGCTTTAAAAAAATGTTACAAAGTTGAATTTCCACCAATATATGTCCTGTTGAAAATATTATGTACCATACCTGTTACTTTGTTGAAAGGAGTTTTTTAACACTAGGTCG